AAACAGAAAAGATGAGTAGGGAAAAAAATGTCACCTGTAAAACCATTCCTGTTTTGGGGGTCGTCTCATTGTTGCCCATCTAGTGCACCTCTTGTTAATTTCATGAACACCAGAGCAGCTGAAACTGATTGCCAACCCCCTCTACGACTTACCTGACCAGATCAGTATCCCAGGAGTTTCACTGACTTGATGCTAGACTCAAAATGTTCCTTTACTTTTTTGAGCACTGTAGTTGCATGGAAAGTAAGGGGTCAGCAGTCCTCTCCAGAGAGCGTACATAAAAGAGCTTTGGTGGCGCTCCAAGGGAGACTGCAAGCTCCCGCAATGTAGGCAGGCCCTTGCTGGTCCTGCATCGTATGTGATGACATCAGAGAGGGGGCGGGTGCACAATCAGTGAACAGGAGTGACTTTTTGGGATCGGGGAGGAAGAATATTTTTACAAGTGACCACTTGTTGACCACAACATCAGGATTTGGGCCTTCAAGTTTGCGCTTAATTTAGACCTTTCTCTGAAGGCTGCCAATACTGTAAATGCTAGTTTTCTGGCTTCTCTTTGTATGCCTGAAAACTCGCAGTAAAGATAGTCCTTACCTGCATCTGGGCTAGAGATTCAAAGCATTGGGTGACAATCAGGCACCAGAATGAGAAGTCACCAATTGAAGTCATCTTGCATCTCCTGGGAAAATATTTTTTAAACCACATTATGCACAAAATTTCTTGGAGCCAAATTCCGAGCCTCCATAATTGAAGGTACTGAAATCCAATGAATGAAAGGGGCGGGGTCAGGGACAGTCAGGCTGCAGAGGAAGAAGCTAGATGATGCTGGATGTCCTCCAGCCAACAAATGAGGCAGAGCTCTATCTGACTTGTTGCAGCTTCTAGTGCACATTGTGAGACGCTCACAGTGTGCAGTGAAATCAGAGTAAGCCATTTAATTCCAATAGAGAAGCTGGTACAAACTGTGCAAGACTGAAGGGGAGGAGGGAGGATCTGTCTAGATCTCAAATGTTGGACATCCTTTATAGAAGATCTTCAGGATCTTTGGATGTAAAGTTGGGGAGCCACCACATGACCAATGCCAAGCTCTCACCCTAAGAGGCTTTATTTTTCGAGCAAGCCATTAATATCAAAGTGCTCTCTATTTTGGCATTCTGAGCTGGCAAAGGGATGGGGTGAATGGGCGCATACCTTGTGTGGTGACCCCCAGGACCCCAAGGTGCTCTGGTATGCGAATTTCCATCTGCATTTGTGGAGTCCAGCTTTAAGAAAACTGTATGTAGAGTGAGGAATGATGCCTGAGATACCGAACAATAGATTTGGGGTTATTGAATTGGCTTTGTGGTGCGCTCCCAGGCTTTTAGTGCGGTCTCAGATGTCCTAACCAGCCTGTTTTGCCAAGTCTCTGTGGTGAAGACATCATCGGTCACAATAAAGTACGGTTTGGATCATCGTTCTCAGCTCTGGATTTCACCGCTGACCATAATGGATAGAAGAAAATGTAACAGGAGATCTTTAGATTTCCATAAGTTACTGTAAATCTGAGAGCGTCTTGGACTTTTGGCTAAGATCAAGTGTGGTATATGTTCTTATCGTTGTCCAGTAGGTGTGCTGCACCTTCATTCTCACCTTTTGACAGGAGTGACTGGCCATAAAGTATCCCTGCTGCTATTATGGGGGTCCTGATGGACCTTCCCCGTGGGAAAGAAACCAAATTCAGCTCCCACTGGGTAAGGTGGGGACTGGGAGTATTTTCCTGGTGTGAAGGGTTCTGAGGGATCCAGTGATTTGAGCACTGCTACCGGATCTGAGGGCTGGGAAGGCAGTGTCTAGCACCCCATGTGAGGGGTGGCCCAGGGATGCTCTTAATATCACTATGGGCTTGGGACCCCACTGTGAGAGTGAGCACTTGGCTACAACAACATCCCCTTATTTCTTCACCTTGCTTCATAAGGCCTGGGGTAATTTTTGTTATCAGACTATGAGGCCTAGCCATTGTATAACATATTGACACCTACAGTTTTTTCCACGTGTGCCACTCCACCTTTATGTGTGTTCTTCACTCACCAGAGGGTAGGTGTGGGTCTTCCGGCCTACCTTCAAGGGGAGGATGTGTGGCCCTTAGATTCCTTCTTACTCTGCCTGGGGGGTCTCCTTTCTGGAGAACTCCTAACGTAGTACTCTGTGGTCATCTTCAGCTAGGCATGAAGAGAGGGGACCACCAGGCCTTTCAGCTAGGTGGACCATAGGTGGAGGTTGTTGTTCTTTGGGAGGGGACATACCCTGTGCATTTTTTTGTGTGTGTTTCTTGGCTCACATGTTTTTTTTGTTTTTGTTTTTTCCACACCACGCCATAAGCTCCTGGATCTTCAGAACTCTAGACCTGCAGTTGATTCAGAAGGAGGCAAAAACCCTTATAAAGTCCTAAGCAGTCCATTGTGTCTCTGTGGAACAGGCTGTCCATGATATATTTACTCAGACTCTTCATCAGGTGCTGCTTTTGCCTACTGAAGTACCATTGTCTCCAGGGATGATGTCTTCTATTCCAAAATCAGGTGCTTCCTTCTGCAGCTGGTCTCCTGGGTTGGACTTCTTTGCACACCATCTTGGCACTGCTGTGTCTTCCCAACTGAGAAGGAATGGGAGTCCTTCCTACACCTTTTTAGGAAGAGCTCCCATTCCTTCTCAGTTGGGAAGACCCAGATGTGCTAAGAGGGTGTCCAACGCAGGAGACCTACCAAGCTGGAGACTATCTCCTACTGAAGACCCATTGTCTCCAGGGATGATGTCTTTTACCCCAAAATTAGGTGGTTCCTTCTACAGCTGGTCTCCTGGGTTGGACTTTTTTGGATACCATCTTGGCACTGCTGTGTCTTCTCAACTGAGAAGCAATGGGAGTTCTTCCTACACCTTTTTAGGAAGAGCTCCCATTCCTTCTCAGTTGGGAAGACCCAGATGTGCCAAGATGGTGTCCAACGCAGGAGACCTACCAAGCTGGAGACTATCTCCTACTGAAGACCCAAAATTAGGTGGTTCCTTCTACAGCTGGTCTCCTGGGTTGGACTTTTTTGGATACCATCTTGGCACTGCTGTGTTCTCCCAACTGAGAAGGAATGGGAGTTCTTCCTATGTCTTTATTGGAAGAACTTCCTTTCCTTCTCAGTTTGGAAGACACAGCAGTTCTAAGATGGTTTCCAACCCAGGAGCCATACCAAGCTGTATAAGGAAAAACCTGTTTAGGGGTAGCATCCCTGAAGGTGAGGATTCTTCAGTAGGAGAAAGCCTCCAAATAGGAGAAGGACCTTTACCAGCCACCTGATGAAGAGCCTGAGTAAACATAGCAGAGACAACCTGTTCCATAAAGACACAATGGACTGCTCCACACCTGCATTTCCAGGATCACACTTTATAAGGGTAGCTGGCCAATACTGTGAGGCTCCATTTCACTCCCTGCAGGGAAATTCCCTGGGATCCATTTCCTCCCTGCTGGTAACCTCTGGTCATGGAGGAGAGGTCTACACTTTTGGGTGCGCCTCTGACCCTGCACTGCAAGTGAAGGTCATCGGAGGAAGGCTCAGGTTCTCACTGGCCTGTGATAGGCAAAGCACTCTAGTCCAGGGGTAGGAGACCAGCCTTTGAAACTTGGTCCAGATCTGCTACTTGAATGCAATCCCAGATGTATTCAACAGGTTTCCTTACAATATTTATGATTTTTTTGTTTTTTTTTTGCAAAATAAAATCGCATTAACAGAACTTAATTTGTTTAAGAAAAATTTTCCGTTCTCATTATGGATCTTCAATTTGATCCCAATAACCATCGGAAAATCTAACAAAATGTTTAAAAAATGAACATTTTCAAACAAAATTCTACTAGAATATGGCCAGTTTTATTTCCTATAATTATAAATAGCCAGTTGTTCTATTTTGTACATTTTGAAACAAAATTCAGCCATTTTTCTTTAAAAAATACAAGTTGTAGAATGGATGTTTTCTTCTCCGTAGATTCCCACATCCTTGTTAGAGAAGTTTTGTATCAATTTCAACTCATTCTAGGGCGTCCTTTTTCAACCAGGGTCCTTTTGAAACCCTAGGGTTCCTCCAGAGATTGCTAGAGGTTCCTTGAGCTGTGGTTGATTGACTTCTCCTCTTATGGTGCCTGCCGAATTTTGGGTCAGACACCAAATACGAGAGCCAGTGTCATGACACCAGAGATCTTTTTAGCTTTCTGCAAGGATACCATTTTCATCATCACAGTAAGAAGGCATTGTTCCTACTGGCTACCAATGTAAGCAGCACTCTTCCCACTGACCCCAATGTAAGCAGCATTCTTCCCACTGACCACCAATGTAAGGGGCATTCTTCCCACTGACCCCCAATGTAAGTGACATTCTTCCCACTGACCCCCAATGTAAGGGACATTCTTCTCACTGACCTCCAATGTAAGGGACATTCTTCCCACTGATCACCAATGTAAGGGACATTCTTCCCACTGACCACCAATGTAAGGGACATTCTTCCCACTGACCCCCAATGTAAGGGACATTCTTCCCACTGACCTCCAATGTAAGGGACATTCTTCCCACTGACCTCCAATGTAAGGGACATCTTCCCAATGATCACCAATGTTAGGGACATTCTTCCCACTGATCCCAATGTAAGGGACATTCTTCCCACTGACCCCCAATGTAAGGGGCATTCTTCCCACTGACCCCCAATGTAAGGACATTCTTCCCACTGACCACCAATGCAAGGGGACATTCTTCCCACTGACCCCCAATGTAAGGGACATTCTTCTCACTGACCCCAATGTAAGGACATTCTTCCCCACTGACCCCCCCAATGTAAGGGGCATTTCTTCCCACTGATCACCAATGTAAGGAACATTCTTCCTCACTGACCCCCAATGTAAGGGACATTCTTCCCACTGACCACCAATGTAAGGGACATTCTTCCCACTGACCCCCAATGTAAGGAACATTCTTCTCACCATTGACCCCCACCAATGTAAGGAACATTCTTCTCACTGACCCCCAATGTAAGGAACATTCTTCCCCTGACCTCCAATGTAAGGGACATTCTTCCCACTGACCACCCAATGTAAGGGGACATTCTTCCCACTGACCACCAATGTAAGGGACATTCTTCCCACTGACCACCAATGTAAGGGACATTCTTCCCACTGACCACCAATGTAAGGGGCATTCTTCCCACTGATCACCAATGTAAGGGACATTCTTCCCACTGACCACCAGGGAATTGTAAGGGACATTCTTCCCACTGACCACCAATGTAAGGGCATTCTTCCACTGACCACCAATGTAAGGGACATTCTTCCACTGACCACCAATGTAAGGGACATTCTTCCCACAGGGACACCAATGACCCCAATGTAAGGGACATTCTTCCCACTGACCACCAATGTAAGGGACATTCTTCCACATGACCCCCAATGTAAGGGACATTCTTCCCACTGACCCCAATGTAAGAGGGACATTCTTCCCACTGACCCCCAATGTAAGGGCATTCTTCTCACTGACCACCAATGTAAGGGACATTCTTCCCATGACCACCAATGTAAGGGACATTCTTTCACCTGACCACCAATGTAAGGGACATTCTTTCCATGACCACCAATGTAAGGGACATTCTTCCCACTCTTCCCCCCCCAATGTAAGGGACATTCTTCCCACTGACCCCCAATGTAAGGGAAATTCTTTCCCACTGACCCCAATGTAAGGAACATTCATCCCCACTGACCCCAATGTAAGGGACATTCTTCCCACTGACCTCCCAATGTAAGGGACATTCTATATCCGGGGGGGGGGGGGGGGGGGGGGGGGGGGGGGGGCACTGACCCCCCCAATGTAAGGAACATTCTTCTCACTGACCCCCAATGGTAAGGAACATTCTTCTCACTGACCCCCAATGTAAGAACATTCTTCCCACTGACCTCCAATGTAAAGGGACATTCTTGCCCACTGACCCCCAAGAGTTATGTGGGACATTCTTTCTCCACTGACCCCCCAATGTAAGGGACATCCTTCCCAATGACCCCCAATGTAAGGGACATTTCTTCGCCACTGACCCCCAATGTAAGGGGCATTCTTCTCACTGACCACCAATGTAAGGACATTCTATCCCACTGACCACCAATGTAAGGGACATTCAGTTCCCACTGAACCACCAATGTAAGGGACATTCTTTCCACTGACGCACCATGTAATGGGACATTCTTCCCACTGACCCCCAATGTAAGGGACATTCTTCCCACTGACCCCCAATGTAAGGAACATATCTTCCCACTGACCCCCAATGTAAGGGACATTCTTCCCACTGACCTCCAATGTAAGGGACATTCTCCCCACTGACGCCCCCAATGTAAAGGAACATTCTTCTCACTGACCCCCAATGTAAGGAACATTCTTCTCACTGACCCCAATGTAAGGAACATTCTTCCCACTGATCGACCTCCAATGTTAAGGGACATTCGTCCCACTGACCCCCCAATGTAAGGGACATTCTTCCCACTGACCACCAATGTAAGGGACATTCTTCCACTGACCACCAATGTAAGGACATTCATCCCACTGACCACCAATGTAAGGGGCATTCTCCCACTGATCACCAATGTAAGGGGACATTCTTCCCACTGACCCACCAATGTAAGGGACATTCTTCCCACTGACCACCAATGTAAGGGCATTCTTCCCACTGACCACCATGTAAGGGACATTCTTATCCCAATAGATCCACCAATGTAAGGGGCATTCTTCCCACTGATCACCAAATGGTAAGGGACATTATTCCTTCTGACCACTGACCACCAATGTAAGGGACATTCTTCCCACTGACCACCAATGTCAGGGGCATTCTTCCCACTGATCAGCCAATGTAAGGGACATTCTTCCCACTGACAGCCCCAATGTAAGGGACATTCTTCCAAACCAATGACCCCCAATGTAAGGGACATTCTTCCCACTGACCCCCAATGGTAAGGGGCATTCTTCCCACTTGACCACCAATGTAAGGGACATTCTTCCCACCTGACCACCAATGTAAGGGACATTCTTCCCCACTGACCCCCAATGTAAGGGACATTCTTCCCACTGACCCCCCCATGTAAGGGACAGTTTCTTCCCACTGACCCCCAATGTAAGAAGCATTCTTCCCACTTACCCACCAATGTCAGGGACATTCTTCCCACTGACCCCCAATGTAAGGGACATTCCTTCCCACTGACCACCCCAATGTAAGGGACATTCTTCCCAATTGACCCCCAATGTAAGGGACATTCTTCCCACTGACCCCCAATGTAAGGGGCACTATTCTTCCCACTGACCACCAAATGTAAGGGAACATTCTTTTCCACTGACCCACCAATGTAAGGGACATTCTTCCCACTGATGACGTGCCCCAATGTAAGGGACATTCTTCCCACTGACCCCCAATGTAAGGGACATTCTTCCCACTGACCCCCAATGTAAGGAACATTCTTCCCACTGACCCCCAATGTAAGGGACATTCTTCCACTGACCACCAATGTAAGGGACATTCTTCCCACTTACCACCAATGTAAGGGACATTCTTCCACTGACCACCAATGTAAGGAACATTCTTCCCACTGACCCACAATGTAAGGGAACTATTCTGTGCGTCCCACTGACCCCCAATGTAAGGAACATTCTTCTCACTGACCCCCAATGTAAGGGACATTCTTCTCACTGACCCCCCCAATTGTAAGGAACATTCTTCCCACTGACCACCAATGTAAGGGACATTTCTTCCCACTGACCCCCAATGTAAGGGACATTCTTCCCACTGACCACCGAATGTAAGGGACATTCTTCCCACTGACACCACCAATGTAAGGGACATTCTTCCCACTGACCACCAATGTAAACTACATTCTTTCCCAATGTAAGGGACATGACCCCCCCAATGTAAGGGACATTCTTCCCACTGACCCCCAATGTAAGGAACATTCTTCCCAATGACCCCCAATGTAAGGACAACTGACCTCCAATTCTTCCCACTGACCCCCAAGGTAAGGAACATTTCTTCCCACCTGACCCCCAATGTAAGGGGACATTCTTCTCCCACTGGCCTGACCCCCAATGTAAGGGACATTCTTCCCACTGACCACCAATGTAAGGGACATTCTTCCCACTGACCACCCAATGTAAGGGACATTCTTCCCACTGATCATCAATGTAAGGGACATTCTTCCCAACTGACCACCAATGTAAGGGACATTTCTTCCCACTGACCACCAATGTAAGAGGGCATTCTTCCCACTGACCACCATGTAAGGGACATTCTTCCCACTGACGCATCCAATGTAAGGGGCATTCTTCCCACTGATCACCAATGTAAGGGACATTCTTCCACTGACCACCAATGTAAGGGACATTCTTCCCACTGACCACCAATGTAAGGGGCATTCTTCCCACTGAACCCCCCAATGTAAGGGACATTCTTCCACTGGACCCACCAATGTAAGGGACATTCTTCCCACTGACCACCAATGTAAGGGACATTCTTCCCACTGACCACCAATGTAAGGGGCCATTTTCTTCCCACTGACCACCAATGTAAGGGACATTCTTCCCACTGACCACCAATGTAAGGGACATTCTTCCCCACTGAACCCCCAATGTTAAGGGACATTCTTCCCAATGACCCCCAAATGTAAGGGACATTCTTCCCACTGACCCCCAATGTAAGGGACATTCTTCCCACTCGACCACCAATGTAAGGGACATTTATTCCACTGACCACCAATGTAAAGGGACATTCTTCCCACTGACCCCAATGTAAGGGACATTCTTCCCACTGACCACCAATGTAAGGGACATTCTTCCCATGACCACCAATGTAAGGGGACATTCTTCCCACTGACCCCCAATGTAAGGGACATTCTTCCCACTGACCCCAATGTAAGGGACATTCTTCCCACTGACCACCAATGTAAGGGACATTCTTCCCACTGACCACCAATGTAAGGGGACATTTTTCCCACTGATCACAATGTAAGAAAGGACATTCTTCCACTGACCACCAATGTAAGGGACATTCTTCTAACTGACCACTGAGGGTCACCACCCACCAATGTAAGGGACAACATTCTTCCCACTGACCCCAATGTAAGGGACATTCTTCCCACTGACCCACCAATGTAAGGGACATTCTTCCCACTGACCACACCAATGTAAGGGGACATTCTTCCCACTGACCCCCAATGTAAGGGACATTCTTCCCACTGAACAACCAATGTAAGGGACATTCTTCCCACTGACCCCCAATGTAAGGGGCATGTCTTCCCACTGACCCCCAATGTAAGGGGACATTCTTTCCACTGACTCACCCAATGTTAAGGGGACATTCTTCCCACTGACCCCAATGTAAGGGACATTCTTCCCACTGACCCCCAATGTAAGGGACATTCTTCCCACTGACCCCCAATGTAAGGGACATTCTTCCCACTGACCCCCAATGTAAGGACATTCTTCCCACTGACCCCCAATGTAAGGGACATTCTTCCCCACTTACCACTGACCAATGTAAGGGACATTCTTCCCACTGACCCCCAATGTAAGGGACATTCTTCCCACTGACCCCCAATGTAAGGGACATTCTTCCCACTGACCCCAATGTAATGGGACATTCTTCCCACTGACCCCCAATGTAAGGGACATTCTTCCCACTGACCACCAATGTAACGGGGAACATTCTTTCCCACTGACCACCAATGTAAGGGACATTCTTCCCACTGACCCCCCAATGTAAGGGACATTCTTCCCACTGACCACTGACAATGTAAGGGACATTCTTCCCACTGACCCCCAATGTAAGGGAACATTCTTCCCACTGACCCCAATGTAAGGGACATTCTTCCCACTGACCCCAAATGTAAGGGTACTTTCTTCCCACTGACCACCAATGTAAGGGACATTCTTCCCACTGACCCCAATGTAAGGGACATTCTTCCCACTGACCCACCAATGTAAGGGACATTCTTCCCACTGACCCCCAATGTAAGGAACATTCTTCCCACTGACCCCCAATGTAAGGACAATTCTTCTCACTGACCCCAATGTAAGGAACATTCTTTCTTCCCACTGACCCCCAATGTAAGGGAACATTCTTCCCACTGACCACCAATGTAAGGGACATTCTTCCCACTGACCCACCAATGTAAGGGACATTCTTCCCACTGACCACCAATGTAAGGGACATTCTTCCCACTGACCCCCAATGTAAGGGACATTCTTCCCACTGACCCCCAATGTAAGGTACATTCTTCCCACTGACCACCAATGTAAGGGACATTCTTCCCACTGACCACCAATGTAAGGGACATTCTTCCCACTGACCCCCCAATGTAAGGGACATTCTTCCCACTGACCCCCAATGTAAGGGACATTCTTCCCACTGACCCCCCCAATGTAAGGAACATTCTTCCCACTGACCCCCAATGTAAGGGACATTCTTCCCACTGACCAACCAAAGTAAGGGACACTGACCACCAATGTAAGGGACATTCTTCCCACTGACCACCAATGTAAGGGACATTCTTCCCACTGACCCCCAATGTAAGGGGACATTCTTCCCTGATGACCACCAATGTAAGGACATTCTTCCCACTGACCACCAATGTAAGGGACATTCTTCCCACTGACCACCAATGTAAGGGACATTCTTCCCACTGACCCCCAATGTAAGGGACATTCTTCCCACTGACCCCCAATGTAAGGGACACTGATTCTTGCCATGACCCCATTTCTTCCACTGACCCCAATGTAAGGAAACATTCTTCCCACTGACCCCCAATGTAAGGGAACATTCTTCCCACTGACCACCAATGTAAGGGACATTCTTCCCACTGACCCCCAATGTAAGGGACATTCTTCCCACTGACCCAATGTAATGTGACCTCCCCCAATGTAAGGGACATTCTTCCCACTGACCACCAATGTAAGGGACATTCTTCCCACTGACCCCCAATGTAAGGACATTCTTCCCACTGACCCCCAATGTAAGGGACATTCTTCCCACTGACCACCAATGTAAGGGACATTCTTCCCACTGACCCCCAATGTAAGGGGACATTCTTCCCACTGACCCCCAATGTAAGGGACATTCTTCCCACTGACACCCCAATGTAAGGAACATTCTTCCCACTGACCCCCCCAATGTAAGGGAACATTTCTTACCCACTGAATCCCACCAATGTAAGGAACATTCTTCCCACTGACCCCCAATGTAAGGGACATTCTTCCCACTGACCCCCAATGTAAGGGACATTCTTCCCACTGACCCCCAATGTAAGGGACATTCTTCCCACTGACCACCAATGTAAGGGACATTCTTCCCACTGACCACCAATGTAAGGGACATTCTTCCCACTGACCCCCAATGTAAGGGACATTCTTCCACTGACCCCCAATGTAAGGGACATTCTTCCCACTGACCCCCAATGTAAGGGACATTCTTCCCACTGACCACCAATGTAAGGGACATTCTTCCTTCCCACTGACCCACCAATGTAAGGGACATTCTTCCCACTGACCCCCAATGTAGGGACATTCTTCCCACTGACCCCCAATGTAAGGGACATTCTTCCCACTGACCCCCAATGTAAGGGACATTCTTCCCACTGACCCCCAATGTAAGGGACATTCTTCCCACTGACCCCAATGTAAGGGACATTCTTCCCACTGACCCCCAATGTAAGGGACATTCTTCCCACTGACCCCCAATGTAAGGGACATCTTCCCACTGACCCCCAATGTAAGGACATTCTTCCCACTGACCCACCAATGTAAGGACATTCTTCTCACTGACCCCCAATGTAAGGAACATTCTTCCACTGACCCCAATGTAAGGGACATTCTTCCCACTGACCACCAATGTAAGGGACATTCTTCCCACTGACCCCCAATGTAAGGGACATTCTTCCCACTGACCCCCAATGTAAGGGACATTCTTCCCACTGACCCCCAATGTAAGGGACATTCTTCCCACTGACCCCCAATGTAAGGGACATTCTTCCCACTGACCCCCAATGTAAGGGACATTCTTCCCACTGACCCCCAATGTAAGGGACATTCTTCCCACTGACCCCCAATGTAAGGGGACATTCTTCCCACTGACCCCCAATGTAAGGAACATTCTTCCCACTGACCCCCAATGTAAGGGACATTCTTCCACTGACCACCAATGTAAGGGACATTCTTCCCACTGACCACCAATGTAAGGGACATTCTTCCCACTGACCACCAATGTAAGGGACATTCTTCCCACTGACCACCAATGTAAGGGACATTCTTCCCACTGACCACCAATGTAAGGGGCATTCTTCCCACTGACCACCAATGTAAGGGACATTCTTCCCACTGACCACCAATGTAAGGGGCATTCTTCCCACTGACCACCAATGTAAGGGACATTCTTCCACTGACCCCACCAATGTAAGGAACATTCTTCCCACTGATCCCCAATGTAAGGAACATTCTTCCCACTGACCACCAATGTAAGGGAACATTCTTCCCACTGACCCCCAATGTAAACATTCTTTAAGGGTAAGGAACATTCTTCCCACTGATCCCCAATGTAAGGGACATTCTTCCCACTGACCCCCAATGTAAGGGACATTCTTCCCACTGACCCCCAATGTAAGGGACATTCTTCCCACTGACCACCAATGTAAGGGACATTCTTCCCACTGACCACCAATGTAAGGGACATTCTTCCCACTGACCCCCAATGTAAGGGACATTCTTCCCACTGACACCCCAATGTAAGGGACATTCTTTCCCACTGACCCCCAATGTAAGGGACATTCTTCCACTGACCCCCAATGTAAGGGACATTCTTCCCACTGACCCCCAATGTAAGGGACATTCTTCCCACTGACCCCCAATGTAAGGGACATTCTTCCCACTGACCCCCAATGTAAGGGACATTTCTTCCCACTGACCCCCAATGTAAGGAACATTCTTCCCACTGACCCCCAATGTAAGGGGACATTCTTCCCACTGACCCCCAATGTAAGGGCATTCTTCCCACTGACCCCCAATGTAAGGGACATTCTCCCCACTGACCCCCAATGTAAGGGACATTCTTCCCACTGACCCCAATGTAAGGGACATTCTTCCCACTGATCACCAATGTAAGGGAACATTCTTCCCACTGACCCCAATGTAAGGGACATTCTTCCCACTGACCCCCAATGTAAGGGACATTCTTCCCACTGATCCCCAATGTAAGGGACATTCTTCCCACTGATCCCCAATGTAAGGGACATTCTTCCCACTGACCCACCAATGTAAGGGACATTCTTCCCACTGACCCCCAATGTAAGGGACATTCTTCCCACTGACCACCAATGTAAGGGACATTCTTCCCACTTCTCACTCCCACTGATCACCAATGTAAGGGACATTCTTCCCACTGACCCCCAATGTAAGGGACATTCTTCCCACTGACCCCCAATGTCAGGGACATTCTTCCCACTGACCCCCAATGTCAGGGACATTCTTCCCCTTGAGTGATTCTTTTAGGTGGGGTTCTCCAACATCTGACAATGATGAAGGTTTCCTCTGGGGTGAAGGGTGGAGAGAGGCTGCTGTAGGCCATTGTCCATGATGGAGACCAGGAAGGACAGTGGTGGGAAGGGCAGTAAATAATGATTGGAGAGTGTTGGAAGGTGTACCCAGCACCCCACAAGTCAGTGTTCCTGGTATCCGTATCAGGATAGGCCGCACCGAGTATACAGATGGCACTCAGACACGGCAAAGGCTGTGCTGGCGTTCCAAAGTTTCGGTGGAGGTTTGTGTCCCCTTTGCCGTGAATCTCGGAGAAACGCGCCGCGCTCGCTGTGTATCGGGACGCCGCGGGGTATCGCACAATCTCACCAGAACGTCCTCTCTCACAATAAACACAATTCCCGATGCACGTTAGAACGCGGCGCTCAGCCCGGCTCGGCAATCACTCATCTTCCCATCGCCTGACATCTCATATGAAGCCGCGAGGTCCCAGCAGAGGGAGGAGGCCTCCTGTATGTAAGTATAGATCACCCCCCCCTCCCCCCCCATACTGCGACATTATAATAATTTATCTTATAATCTCCTGCGACGCTGAACCTCCATTACAATACATACTCCATGTGTCCGTCCATCCATCTGTCCGTCCGCAATCCTTCCCGCTGACTTACATTTCATCCATTTCTAGAGGATCTCAGCAATGAGGAATCTCCTCTGAGAACAGGGATTGTACCCACTTGTATCTCATTTATTCTTTTTATTTTTTTCTTTGCATCCAATCTTGTCTGTCCATCCAGTCCTGAGATTTACTCTGCTCTGCCACACAGAGCAGGCCCTGTCTGTCAGGGGAGGAGACCTGACTTTGTCTCAGCTGCTTACTGGTCTTGTTCCCCCCCCCCCCTTGATTGGCTACTTGTCCCTTCCCCAGTTTGTGATTGGACCAGGAAAGGAGAAGCAGCAGGTTAATGAAGTCATCTCGCTGTCACTCTGCTGTCTCCTCCACTCAGGATGCTACTCTCACTTCAGCACCCTTGATTGGCTCCTTGTTCCTCCCCCAGTGCTCTCTCCTCCACTCAGGATGCTTCTCTCACTGCAGCACCCTTGATTGGCTCCTTGTCCCTCCCCCAGCTTGTGATTGGACCAGGAAAGGAGAAACAACAGATTGATAAGCTCCTCTCGTTGTCACTCTGCTCTCTCCTCCACTCTGGATGCTTCTCACACTGCAGCACCCTTGATTGGCTCCTTGTCCCTCCCCCAGCTTGTGATTGGACCAGGACAGGAGAAGCAGCAGAGTCATGACCTTATCTTGCTGTCACTCTGCTCTCTCCTCCTCTTAGCACACTTCTCTCACTGCAGCACCCTTGATTGGCTCCTTGTCCCTCCCCCAGCTTGTGATTAGACCAGGAAAGGAGAAACAGCAGATTGATAAGCGCATCTTGTCACTTTGCTCTCTCCTCCTCTCAGCACACTTCTCTCACTGCAGCACCCTTGATTGGCTCCTTGCCCCCCTCCCCCAGCTTGTGATTGGACCAGGACAGGAGAAGCAGCAGATTCATGACCTCAGGGCCAGATCTAGGGGGGTGCTACCCCAGCACCAACAGCCCACCCTGGGCTCTGCCCCCCCAGATCTCTGAAAATGCACCCACTAATCCATGAGGCAGTCTGATGCAGACAATTGATGTAAGGAGGCACGCAGATGGGTACAATCCATATAAGGGGAGCACTCTGATGGGGACACCTGATGTAAGGGGGCACTCTGATGGGACACCTGATATAAGGGGGCACTCTGATGGGACACCTGATATAAGGGGGGACTCTGATGGGAACACCTGATATAAGGGGGGGCTCTGATGGGACACCTGATGTAAGGGGGCACTCTGATGGGACTCTGACGGGGACACCTGATGTAAGGGGGGACTCTGATGGGGACACCTGATGTAAGGGGGAACTCTGATGCGGACTCTGATGGGACACCTGATGTAAGGGGGAACTCTGATAGGACACCTGATGTAAGGGGGCGCTCTGATGGGACACCTGATGTAAGGTGGCACTCTGATTGGGACACCTAATGTAAGGGGACACCTGATGTAAGGGGGGGGGACTATGATGGGGGACACCTGATGTATGGGGGCACTTTGATGGGGACACCTGATGTAAGGGGGCACTCTGATGGGGACACCTGATGTAAGGGGGCACTCTGATGGGGACACCTGATATAAGGGGGGACTCTGATGGGGACAACTAATGTAAGGGGGGGGGACACCTGATGTAAGGGGGCACTCTGATGGGACACCTGATGTAAGGGGGAACTCTGTTGGGGACTCTGATGGGGCACCTGATGTAAGGGAGCACTCTGATGGGACACCTGCTGTAAGGGGGAACTCTGATGGGACACCTGATGTAAGGGGGCACTCTGATGAGGACATCTGATATAAGGAGGACAGATTCTGTGTGAGCCTGATAAACAACTAGTGTTTCCCAGGTCATGACACTATGTAACAGACTCTTTTTTTTTTTTTTTACTGCCCCCCCAGACCAGATAGTCTAGATTCGGCCCTGCCAGTGATGACATCAAAATGATTTAAAAAATGGAAAGGTTTTGCCTCAGTACTCCTCTCGAGGACTCAGTCCTGATGTAAGCCAGGAAACGAGCCGGGCTCTCATTGTTCAGTTCCTTTCCAGGACTGTCTGACCATCTCTGGCCTTTCCTTTACAGTTCCAGGTGGAGCAGAAGAAGAGGGAGGTGGAGGAACGGAGGCGCTTCCCCCTGGAGCAGCGTCTGAAGGAGCATATCGTGGGTCAGGAGAGCTCCATCGCCACTGTGGCCGCAGGTAATACCACAACACCTTCAATGGGCTGTCCGCTGGGCTGCCCTGGTATCTCAAAGGGCTGTGCAATGAAATCATTATGGACATGATGTATATCTGATGGTATGATGTATCACAATGTATCCAATCGCTTTTACTTTATGTAACATAATTGAACCCCTTTAGGCTCTCAACGCTCTCTTCCCCCCTCCCCCTCATGGACCAAAACAGTTTTTGCAGTTCCTCAACATTTTCTTTATTCAGCAAAACTGCCCCACCCCTTACATAAAGAAAGAACAAACTGTGCGAAGCACCAGCATCAGGGCCCCAACACAGCCGTCATCCAATCATAAGTCAGCGGCTGTGTACCAGCCCCATGCTCCCCTAAATCACTGGTGCCGTTTCCATTGGCGGGGAAATATCGCAGTGGCAGTGTCAATGTGCCTTGGTCATGACTGTCAGGGCTCCAGGTATGACCAGAGTGTGTGGACTGACACAGGGAAACGCAGGCTTCAGGTATAGTATAAACAATACAATTTATTGAAGACTAAACAATACATAAACGCAGTGCAAACAAACCAAACCTCCAACAGATAACAATAAGAACAATACTAAACGTAGTCAGGCGGGCCGGGTCGGTAGCAAACGGGCAGGCAAGGTACAAGGAGCAGGCGGAAGAGTAGCTGAGGTCGGTACAGGCAGAGTTCATGCAGAGTCAGGATTAAAGCAGGCAGGATCAGGATACAGGGGCCAAGGGAAACTATACACCAAGGCACTGACTGCAGGCCTGGCCACTCCTTAATACACCTCCTGCAATCAGCCTCAGGTGATGACTTGATTGCAGGAGTGAGCGTCTGGCCGCTGAGAGCACCCGCTGGCCAGCCCTGGTACTGCAGCCCACACGGCAGGTGAGTCCCACCACCAGTGGTGAGTCCATTCCTGACAATGACACTTCGCGGCCCCGGCGAACACCCATTAGACCCATTCAATAGGAAAGCTCCACCAACGCCCCGCAATTACATGCAGTGCATGCGGTTGCGACACAAATGGGGTTGAAACCGGCGGTGAGGAGGCTCCTCCCTACCTGTCACCCCTGAAAAGCGATCCGAATGCGGCTCACTTTTCAAAGAAATGGTGGTTTTAGACGCACATCTAAACCTAGCCTGGCTGATCTCACCTACAGATGGAAAGTCGTCCCTCTGATCTGCAGATGAATAAAACAGAGAACATACAATGTTACTTTGTATTCCCTGAATCCCGCCCCCGAGCAGTGTTTACAAACACCGATCAGAGGGTTCCTCATTGACAACAATGGCTAGAGCCAGCTACTGCGATTCTAATAGCAAGTCCCGGCTGTCATTTTGACAGCCAGGAATTGCTGGTAAAAAAAAAAAACACGAGCGGGAGGTGGCTTAGCAGAATTGGGGGAGACAGAGTGCATTGTGCACCCTGGCCAGGGGCGGACTGACAACTCATGGGGCCCCCGGGCAATAGGGGATCATGGGGCCCCTGTGTCCTTGCCCAAACTCTAAAAAAGCCTATGAAAAAGGTACCAGAGGCATCTCATGGGGCCCCCTACTGACCCCGGGCCCTCGGGCAGTGCCCGAGTTTCCAAATGGTCAGTCCGCCCCTGGCCCTGTACTTCAGCGACTATTTCTGGGGGTCTCACGTAGCTCGTCCAAGGTACAAGTCTCATGCTGTGACCACCCCCCCCTGTATATACAGACCTTCCCTTTGCTCCTCTACTCCTCAGTTCAGCTACCTGGAGAGCAGACGACACCCTGTACTTCCAGGTATGTTGAAGCAGGTGACTCCTCCCACTTCTCTGTGACAGTGATTGGCCCAGAGCTGCAATAGCGAATAGTGGTGCCACCCTCTGGCTGTTTAGTAGGTTACAGGTGCGTGAATTACAAGAGCGGCTGAACAGGCCTGATGACCTGAGCCGTGGACAATAGTCTGCGTGACAATCATAGCAAAGCTAACAGAGCGGGGGAACGTTACAGAGCTCTCGTGTACATCGCCAAATCCCCGCCGTGGCCAATTCCACGGATTGCTAAATATAGGGCATTTCCTCGTCCAGCGCGGTCCAGGCTCTCCAGGGCACCATATTGTGGCTTCGTGATTATCCACCGAGGTGCCATGAAGAAGTCTGAATCTAGAGCGGCGGCGGCACTGCGTGGTGTCTGCAAGACTTCATTCCCACCATGTGGACGCGTAGGGGCCCGGAGGAGGCCGGACACGGCCTGAGAGGTGAACGGAACTGGACAGCAGCGCTAATAAACAGATAGAAAAAGAGTTTTAAAAATTCATATATACAGTATCTCCCAGAAGTGAGGCCCCCCCGGACTGTATACAATATATATATATACAGTATCTCCCAGAAGTGAGGCCCCCCCGGACTGTATACAATATATATATATATACAGTATCTTCCAGAAGTGAGGCCCCCCCGGACTGTATACAATATATATATATACAGTATCTTCCAGAAGTGAGGCCCCCCCCGGACTGTATACAATATATATATATACAGTATCTTCCAGAAGTGAGGCCCCCCCGGACTGTATACAATATATATATATATACAGTATCTTCCAGAAGTGAGGCCCCCCCGGACTGTATACAATATATATATATACAGTATCTTCCAGAAGTGAGGCCCCCCCGAACTGTATACAATATATATATATATACAGTATCTTCCAGAAGTAAGTCCCCCCCCGGACTGTATACAATATATATATATACAGTATCTCCCAGAAGTGAGGCCCCCCCGAACTGTATACAATATATATATATATACAGTATCTCCCAGAAGTGAGGCCCCCCCGGACTGTATACAATATATATATATATACAGTATCTCCCAGAAGTGAGGCCCCCCCGGACTGTATACAATATATATATATATACAGTATCTCCCAGAAGTGAGGCCCCCCCGGACTGTATACAATATATATATATACAGTATCTCCCAGAAGTGAGGCCCCCCCGGACTGTATACAATATATATATATACAGTATCTTCCAGAAGTGAGTCCCCCCCGGACTGTATACAATATATATATACAGTTGCAAGAAAAAGTATGTGAACCCCTTGGGATTACGTGGAGTTTTGCATGAATTGGGCATAAAATGTGCTCTGAACGTCATCTAAGTCACAACAATAGAAGAACACAGTCTGCTGAACATAATACTACACAAACATTAGATGTTGCCATGGTTTAATTGCACATAACATGTAAACATTCACAGTGCAGGGAGGAAAAAGTATGTGAACCTTTGGACTTAATAACTGGTTGACCCTCCTTTGGCAGCAATAACCTCAACCAAACGTTTCCTGTAGTTGCAGATCAGACCTGCACAACGATCTGGAGTCATTTTGGACAACTCCTCTTCACAAAACTGTTTCAGTGTAGCAATATTCTTGGGATGTCTGGTGTGAATCGCTCTCTTAAGGTCATGCCACAGCATTTCAATCGGGTTGAGGTCAGGACTCTGACTGGGCCACTCCAGAAGGCGTATTCTGTGCTGTTGCAGCCATTGTTTTGTTGAATTACTTGTATGCTTTGGGTCATTGTCCTGTTGCATCACCCATTCTCTGCGGAGCTTCAGTTGGTGGACAGATGGTCGTACGTTTTCCTGCAAAATGTCTTGATAAACTCTGGAATTTATTTTCCCATCAATGACAACAATCCGTCCAGGCCCTGAGGCAGCAAAGCAGCCCCAAACCATGATGCTCCCTCCGCCATGTTTCACAGTGGGGATGAGGTTTTGATGTTGGTGTGCTGTGCCTTTTTTTCTCCACACATAGTGTTGTGTGTTCTTCCCAAACAACTCAATCTTGGTTTCATCTGTCCGCAGTATATTTTGCCAGTAGTGCTGTGGAACATCCAGGTGCTCTTTTGCAAACTTCAAACGTGCTGCAATATTCTTTTTGGACAGCAATGGCTTCCTCCGTGGTGTCCTCCCATGTACTCCATTCTTGTTTAATGTTTTCCTTATTGTAGATGTGTCAACAAAAATGTTAGCATGTGCCAGAGATTTCTGTAGGTCTTTAGCTGACACTCTGGGATTCTTCTTTACCTCATGCAGCATTCTGCGCTGTGCTCTTGCAGTCATTTTTACAGGACGACAACGCCTAGGGAGAGTAGCAACAGTGCTAAACTTTCTCCATTTGTAGACAGTCTGTCTTACCATGGACACATGAACATCAAGGCTTTTGGAGATACTTTTGTAACCCTTTCCAGCTTCATGCAAGTCAACAATTCTTGATTGTAGGTCTTCTGAGAGCTCTTTTCTGCGAGGCATGGTTCACATCAGACAGTGCTTCTTGAAACCAGTAAACCCAAAACAGGTGTGTGTTTTTTAAGGGCAAGACAGCTGTCAGCAACAAATCCAATATCATCACACTGATTGGAGTCAAGGTTGGCTCACTCCTGGCTCCAATTAGCTCTGGGGGAAGTCATTAAGCTAGGGCCTCACATACTTTTTCCTCCCTGCACTGTAAATGTTTACATGTTATGTGCAATTAAACCATGGCAACATCTAATGTTTGTGCAGTATTATGTTCAGCAGACTGTGTTCTTCTATTGTTGTGACTTAGATGACATTCAGAGCA